GGGGGGGGGGGACTGTAGAGCACAGCAGGGTGATGGGAAGAGACGGCGGCTGCAGGGGACAAAACAGTCCAAAGGGGAGCGAGCAGAGCCTCAAAGGCTCCAGATGTTCCACAGCTGGAGCAGCCACAGAAATCCAAACTAAACCCAATCCGAGCTAACGGCTCATCCCTCTGTCCACAGGATGAGATGTTACCGTCCCACCTTCCAGTTTCTCCAGTAACGTTTAAAGGAAATTAGTTATATCAGTTTAGAACTGACTTATAAAGCTGAGAGAATAGAGACCCGATTCATCTGATTCAGACTGAGCTGGAGTTAAAGAACCGAACCCCAGAAGACAGGAGGAACAAAGGAACTGAGAGGTTGAAACCAAGAGGTAGGAACCAAAAGATAGGATCCAAGATCTAGGAAGCAACACACAGAGACTAAGATGTATGACCATGAAGCAGCGACAAGTAACAAGTTGAAACGATGAAATTAAACTGAACATAGAAGTAAATAAGAAGTAAACTGTAGAAGAAGAGTTCAGATCACGTTGCAGAAGAAGAAGCGAGTGGAGGACTCAGCAGTGTCTTTTTGTGGTGGTCCTGGTTATGTTTAGTGGATGGGTTCATGAATCCCTCATGTAAAAGAACATTGAACCTTTTTAAAAGCTGTGGAACAGTTTTAATCCTGGACAGTATTTTAGCGTGTTGATGTCTGAGAGCCCAAACAAAGCGTGAAGCTGCCCAGAGCCTGGGGGAGGTTTAGGGCTTCTGCGTCGTTTTACCCGGTCGTTTCTGTCCTTGTGCAGCTGAAAGTCGGTCCGTTTGGGCTCTGAGAGTCAATCCTGTTCAGGGTTCTGCCCCAAACCTGCTGCTGCTCACCCTGAAGGGAGCATCTGCAGGCCCAGTCCATCAGAGTGTTCCAGTGAAGAGGTCCTTCCTTCTTATGGGGTTAAGTTAGGGTTGAGTTAAGTTAGGGTTAAGTTAGGGTTGAGTCAACTTAAGTTAGGGTTAAGTTGAGTTAGGGTTTAGTTAAAGTTAAGTTAGGGTTGAGTTAAGTGAAGTTAAGTTAGTGTAAAGTTAAGTTAAGGTTGAGTTAGGTTAGGGTTGAGTTAAGTTAAGTTAGTATTGAGTTAAGTTAAGTTAGTCCTTATGGGGACTTTGGCTTCCTTAGAACTCCTGCTTCTACCTTCAGGACGTTAGAGGGGTGTGTGCTGGTAGAGAGCTCAGAGATAAATGTAGCTGAGCTGATGATGGGGAGGAAAGTGGAGAAAAGTGAGTGCAAAGGAGCTGCTGGAGGTGAGAAGTGGAGCTATTTTCGCTGCGAAGCTCCGCCTGGAGCAGCAGCTGCTCAGAGCTGATGGCGCTCCGCATTTAGAGCCGCCGCTAACCCCGTCTCCCCCCCCGTCTCCCCCCCCTTCTCCCCAGTGCCCATCCCGGCCAAGCTGAACGGCTCGGCCCTGTCGGCGCTGTCCATGGGGAAGGAGGGGCTGGGCATGGGCGCCGTGTCCAACCCGGCCGAGGTCTTCTGCTCCGTCCCGGGCCGCCTGTCGCTGCTCAGCTCCAACTCCAAGTACAAGGTGACGGTGGGGGAGGTGCAGCGGCGGCTGTCGCCCCCCGAGTGCCTGAACGCCTCCCTGCTGGGCGGAGTGCTGCGCAGGTGAGTCCAGCCAGGTGGTGGTGGTGGTGGGGGGTGGGGGGCATCTGGGGTTTAAAGTGACGAGTGACGGTCAGAACCAGAATGAGTTCTCAATCATTTAAAACTGTGAAATACGAGCTGTGAACACGCAGTGATGCTCTGAAGAAGAACTGATTTCCATCAGATGATTTAAAAAAGAACAAAACAGGCTGTGGATCAGTGGAGAGAAAAGACTGAGACCCAACCATTTAGATACAAAAAAACAGAGTGGGAGGAAAACAGGAAACAGAATTAAAACAGTTAACCAGAATGCAGCTAAACAAAAATATACAAAAAAAGAAACAATATAGAAAAAAACAGTAAAACAAAAATAAACAGAATTTAAATTATACAAACAAAAAATAAACAGAAAAACAAATAAATTCCAAAACAAAAAGCAACAGAAAACAACAAACAAGAAAATAAACAAAAATCATAATACACAGAATAAACAAAAAAAACAGAAAATAAAAACAGAAAACATCATTAAAAAGATAGGCAAAAAATAATAGAAAACAACAATGAATGAAAAACTAAATTAAACAGAATATAAACAGAAAACATCATCAAATTATCAGAAATAATCAGAAAAACAAAAAAATAAACAAACAAAATAAACGGAAAATAAAAATAAGCAAAACGAAAGTAAGCAGAAAAACCAAACTAAACAAATAAAATTAAACTGAAAATTAAATTAAACAAAAAACAAAAATAAACAAATTCAATTCAACGGTAAATTAAATTAAACAGAAAACCAAAGAAAACAAAATTAAACAGAAAAGAAAAGTAAACACAGATAAAGAACCTTTGTCCTCGTGAGACCAAAAGAAAAAGAAAACCTGTCAGCTGTCTGATCAGAGCAAAGCATCATGGGTAGTTTAAGTAAACCGTCCAGCTGAAGGAACCGTGCGGCTTAATTTTGATCAATTCCGTTTTAGTTTGTGACAAAGAGCTGCAGGTCAGTGAGGATGAATCAGTAACTCTGCTCTGAACTGAGTTCCCCTCCACAGGATGTGTGACATTATATAACCACACATACACCAAAGGCTCAGTTTGGGCCTTTAAAGCACTCAAATCTCACCTTTCTTACAGAAAGCTGAACGAGTGAGAACCAGTTCAGGGTTCACTCTAATAACCTGTAACTCACCTGAACTCGTCTGGGTGTTAGAAATGAAACAAAGAATAAACATGAGGTGGATTTCAGAGGAGTTTCCTGCAACAACAGGAAGTGCCGACAGCAGCAGAAACTTTTTAAACCCCAAAATTAAAAACTCCAAATCTATTGGACTCTAACAGATGGACTCTGGTTTGGATCAGAGCTGATTTCCAGGAAATGAAGACTCATTCTGGAGGAGAACCAGCAGAACTCTGAGTTCTCTGGACTCTGGTTTGGATCAAATGCTCAGATGTTGAAATTAAATGAAACCTGCTCCAAACAGGACCACGGAGCTCATGATCCACATTTTTTTTTTTTTTTACAGTAAAATGACTGAAGCCTAAATAATCTGAGCCTGTTTGCGTCCACACGCTTTCCATCAGGCGCCTTCAGGCCTTAACAGTCTTCAGAGGAACATGGAGGACATTTAAAGCTTTTTTCCAAACAGAAGCTCTCTGCTTTCTGCCTGGGGGGGGGGAGCTGAGGAGCCGAACTGGGTCATGAGACTGAATCACAAGAGAAGCGATGTGGTTTAATGAAGCTCTGCCTCGGGACGGGAACCAGTCTGTGACTCCAGTCTGAGGCTCAAACACATAAGAGGGCCTGATTAGAGGATCTGAGGGGCTTTCTGTGTTGCCCAAAACTCCCACTTTACAGGAAAAAAAACTAAACTAATGACTTATTTAAAATGCAATAACAAAATGTGGGAGAAAGACTGAAGGTTTCTGCAGGAGCTGGAAAAGAAATGTGGTCAGATTTCAAATGTCAAAGTCAACTTTAGTTATACAGCACATTTAACAACAGCTGCATTATTATTATTATTATTAATATTACTATTATTGTTATTATTATTAATGATGATTATAATAATAATGATACATCTGCCCAAATCGCTGTTCATCAAATATTATAGGTGCAATAAACCAGTAAAAAGATCATTACCAGATATACAAACATGTAAAAAAAAAGTTGTATTGTATTTTTGTAATAATAATAATAATTTTAGTGATAGAGAATAGTAATAAAGTGAGGTTTCAACAACGGCTTACAAAGCGGACCTGTTCTGGTTCTGGTTCCTCAGGGCGAAGTCCAAGAACGGCGGCCGCTGTCTGCGGGAGCGTCTGGAGAAGATCGGCCTCAACCTGCCCGCCGGGCGCCGCAAGGCCGCCAACGTCACCCTGCTGACGTCGCTGGTGGAGGGTAGGCACGCACACACAAACACTCACACACACACACACACACACGTGCACGGGGTGACCCGTATACAGCCCGACACGCACAGGCGTCCTCGCATGAGCTCACATGAATAAACAGGCTGCGCGGATGGCTGCAGGCACGCACACGCACGCACGTACGTGCACGCCGCAGAGCCGACCAGCCGGGAGGAAAACGTCCTCTGTTGGGGGGGGGAGTGGGACTCTGGACGCTATGGGGAGGTCATGTGACCAGATGGGAGCTGATGTCACAGAGAGGGCGGTGCTGTGTGGACTGCACATGCTCAGAAAGCCCCCAAACCACTAGAACCCAGAACCAGACTTCTTCTGGGTCCTTGAGTCTGTTTAACCACTCATCTGATGGCCTACTGCTGACACTAGCTGCTGACATTAACTGCTAATGCTGGCTGCTAACACTATCTGCAAATATTATCTGCTAATGCTAGCTGCTAACACTAGCTGTTAACACTAGCTGCTAATACTGGCTATTAATTTCAGCTGTTAATTTTAGCTGCTAATGTTAGCAAGTAATGCTAGCTGTTAATGGTAGATGCTAATGTTGACTGTTAATGCTGACCATTAATGCTGGCTGCTAATGCATGCCGTTAATGCTAGTTGTTAATGCTAGTTGTTAGTGCTAGATGCTAATGCTAGATGCTAATGCTGGCTGCCCCTTTCTGAAGGTGAGGCCGTCCACCTGGCGAGGGACTTCGGCTACGTGTGTGAGACCGAATTTCCAGCCAGAGCCACAGCGGAGTACCTGTGCAGGCAGGGCGACCCGGACCAGCTGCCGACCCGCCGCAGCATGCTGCTGGCCACAAAGTGAGTGGCTCTAAAGTTCTGAGGGTTCAGCTTCTGGGGTTCAGGTTCTGGGATTCTGGTTTTAGGGATTCAGGTACTGGCTCAGGTTCTGGTTTTAAGGGTTCATGTTCTGAAGGTTCTTTTCAGGTTTAGGTTTTGGGATTCAGGTTCTGGGGTTTGGGTTTTTAGGGTTCAGGTTCTGGGGATCTGAGGTTCCTGTCCCATGCTGTCTGACCTCTGGTCCCCTCTCAGGGAGATCTGTAAGGAGTTCCTGGACCTGCTGTCCCAGGACCGGTCCCCGCTGGGCGGCGGCCGGCCGGCGCCCTGCCTGGAGGCCGGCGTGCAGGCCAGCCTGACCCACTTCAGCCTGCTGACCCACGGCTTCGGGGGGCCGGCCATCGGCGCCGCGCTGGCCGCCTTCCAAAGCTACCTGCTGGAGGCCCTCAAGCTGCTGGACAAGGCCCAGAACGGCGGGAAGGGCCTCCACGACAAGGACCTGAAGCTCCGCAAATAGGGGCGGGGCAGGGGGGGACTGACCTCTGACCTCAGGAAGCCCCTCCCACCGAGGGGCGGGGCTCACGATATCTGCCGCCCCACCCCGCATGGACCTCTCTTCTCCCTTCTGTTCAGGAGGCTTTTCTCTACTTCCTGTTTGTTCACTTCTTGTGTGTCCAACCTGATGACATCACACACACGACCTCTGACCCCGAGACCCACCACCAGTCCCTTTTAAAGGGACAGAGTCCTGGTCCTGGTGGGACCGCCCAGAACCGGACCGAAGCCTCAGAAGCCATATCGGCCACCAGCTCCACGCCGGACCGAGCCACCCAGGCCGCACCTGGAGCAGGTGCTCATGGGAAATGGAGTCTGTCAGTGGGGAGAGGAGACGGAGGGCAGCTAACAGATCTGTTTTCTTTAGTTCCACGTGTTGGTAATTTAAACGAGTAACACAAATCATTTTGTACTTTGTGTCTGTTTATTATTAATGTTATTACTGTTGTTATTATTATTGTATTACAGCATAAATGTAATATATTATTAAAGAATTAGAGCTGATGGTGGATGTTAAGGAGTGTTTTTCAGGTATCTCAGAACCTTTTTACTTCCATTTTGATTATATTGTAAATTCTTGGATATTTCAAAAACTGTTACGATGGTTTTTTTGTTGACCTGCATAAAGTACAAAAACTTCAATTCCGCTTCATTTTACTGCATTTCCTCAGTGAATCTGGATCTTATGATGATTTTAGACGGTCCAGAACATCTAAAAGAAGCTAACAAGACTGGAGGCTGGACCAGTCCTGGTCTGCAGGAAGCAGCAGGGTTCAGAGGAGCCTCTGAACTTCCTCTGAAGGAGTTCTGGGGTTCAGTTTGGCTCTGAAGCCTTCATCAGATGGAACAAACTCTGATTCACAGGTTTCCCTTCAGCTCAACGTTACAAAATCTAACATTTTAAAGCTGGAATATCTAGAGCCCAGAGGATGAGCTCTGTCTGAGGGCAATGCTCCAGCAGAGCTAACTATGGGTTAGCTCACACTTGGGTTCAGTTCAACGCTGGCCTGCAGAGGTTCAGCCACAAAGGGATCAGGTCCAGCTGTCAGAGCTGGAAGTGAAGCAGCTGCTAAATAATTATCTGGGTTTATTTCCTGAGCTGTTATCTTTACCAGTAGTTAACGCTAACAGCTTGGCTGGGAAGGGCTGATGCTAGCTCATGCTAGCTGAAGCTTTTCGGGAGAAACTCTCCTCATTGGCTCCTTCATTTGAAACAAGTGTAAAAGTCTGTGTGATAACACCGATCAGGCTGTTATTTGTGTGAACTGTTAGCTCTGCGGCTCCACAAACAGCAGAGGCGGCGTGCGTTAGAGTGCACGTGCACGCCGGGTGCGTGCGCGTTGCCTCGGTGCTGCAGACAGGTGATTAATAAACATTAAACAACCCTCTGAAACACTCCGGAATCTGATGGGAAGAGCGGCATATGTTTGCCTGCAGGCGGCGAGAGGCGGCGAGCGGCCCGCTGAGCGTTGGAGACGGGGTGAGATGTGCATGGGGGGGGGGGGGGGGGAGGAAGGGATGGGTGGAGGAGGGGTGACGGAGGCTGAGGAGACGGGAGCAGACAGCAGGTAGAAAGGGGAGATGTTTGAGATGCTGAGCAGCGTTTATTCCCTGGAAAGCCGAGACTGTGTTGGGTCTTGTCCTGGTTAAACAGAGTGGAGTGGAGGGGAGGGGTGGAGGGGGTCACATGACTCCCAGGTACAGCAGCTGTGTGAGAACCGTGTTTTTACAGAGACATTTTTAGAAACAAAGACATAAAAAATGACAGAAGCCTCCCACTGAGATGTGAAGCAGGAAGTTTAACGGAGCAGCATCGAATCCAACGACGGAACAAAGAGCCACAGAATCGAGCTGAGAATGTAAATCAGAGGTTAGCGGTAATTATTTCACGCTGTGCTGAGCTGCTGTGTGTTATTGCTCAAAGTGTAAGTGTGCGAGTGTGACACCTGGGCCACGTGCGCTCACAGAAGCCTTTTATCGAGTGGAATTAGGCGACTGGCGTCGACACCTGAGGAGCCGAGGCGTTCCTGAGGAGCCCGACCGAGGCTCCGGGGATTACACCTCGCTGCCGTCTGGCAGGATGCCGCATCACAAACAGCTCACGTCAGTCACCAAACAAAGGAGAGAAAATTCACAGCAACCAACACGTTTACTCAGAAAACTCTGAGCCGAGCCGAGGCCTCCGTTTCAGCCTGATGGGTCCGGATGGCTGTTAGTTACAGCCCTGTGGCCGGACCAGCACCCTCTGGCTCCACATGGATGGATACCAGCAGGGAAGCGCTTTAGCGGCTAGCTATAAGCTAGCATGATGCTAACGGCAGGGCCAGATGTGTGGGGGTGCATGCGGTCATGAGGGTTAGCGGTGGTGATCCCCTCCTTTTCCATGATTGAATGTTTGGCTGGTTGCCTTGGCGATTTCCTCCCCTTTCAGGGGGCAGCCATGATGGAATGTTTGGCTGGCTGGTTGCCGTGGTGAACATCTGTAACCTACGGATTCACCAGCTGCGGCTGGGCTGCCTAAACTATGCTAGCATGTCAACAGAGTTAAATCTATTCCCTTATTTCACTGGATGTGAATAAAACACTCATTCTGGCTTCCAGAAGTAACAGTTGTTAATTATAATACAATGATTGGGGCAGAAGCTGCTCTGGGCCTCCGGCTCAGGACAAAGACGAGTCTGGACCTCCACGGTGTCACTTTTTATTGGTAAGAGGTACAAAAGGGGCTGGCAGTCACTTGGTGTCACTTGGCGTCCACGGTCAGCTTCTCCATGTCGTGGATGCCTTCCTTGTCGATGATGCGGACGTTGAAGGAGTGCAGGTTGAGAATGAAGCGTCTGTTGAGCTGCAGGAGGTCAGAGAAGCAGTTAGAACCTGGAAAGAACCCACAGAGGAACCGACCCACAGAGGAACCCACACCCACCTCCTCGATGCACTTCTTCAGCAGGTCCACGGCCTCCTCTCGGGTCAGATCTGCAACACACAACAATTAGGGACCTGGTTCAGACCTGACTCAGACCTGGTCCAGACCCCCCCCCCCCAGGGACGGCGTGCCAGCAGACCTGGTTTGTAGTACCGGTCCAGGATGGACAGGGTGAGGAAGGCGCCGTAGCCGTGGGCGGCGAAGGGCGCCTTGGCCAGGGCCGACAGGTAGTCCATGTAGAAGAGGCCCGGCCCGTCGGCCTCGTCGTAGCCCGCCAGCAGCAGGTTGACGTGGTACGGCGTCTGCGGACCAGGGAGCAGCGTCAGACAGTTCACCCACAGCCGGACCCACTTCTCTGTGGGTCTGGGTCAGGCTCTGGTTTGGGTCTGGGTCAGGCTGCCACAGAACTGACATCAGAGAAGCTGGACACCTCTGGATGAACTGAGTCCAGAACCAAACCAGGTCCAGACAGCAGACCGTTTCCCCTCAGGAAACACTAGAACTATGGCAGCCCAAAAGGAGCCGAAGGGACACAGTCTCCTGAGTGGACCTGAAGGGATTACCCCGATCCTGAACCTAAAGAGATGTCCCTAACCCTAACCCTGACCCTAACCCTGTTTCCTCAGAGCTGGGCGCACGGTGCCCTGGGCGCCTCCATCCAGGTCACAGCTCACCCAAAAGAAGCAAACTCCAGCTCTGACTTGGTGCAGAGCAGCATCAGCGGATCGGTGTGGGGGGGTCAGGGTGTCACTGTGACATCTGCTGGCAGTCAGCACCCCCATTGCTCTGCCCTGCCCCCCCCACGCCGCCGCCCCCCCGGGCCCTGGAAGAGCGCCAGGCCTCATTAAAAACTTCTGAAGCGGTTCCTCCCCCCCTCCCCTCTTACATCGTACCGTCAGCGCCCCCAGCCTCCTCCTCCGACTCTCCAGCCTTCAAACGAGGCGTTTGTGGGGCCTAAAGGCGGCGCGCGCCGGCGCCCTGATTACAGGAGGAAGAGGTGCATTGTGGGCCGCGGCGTGACAGCAGGTGAGCGACACGCCTGCCTGTTTCCTGTTAGTTTGCCAGCAGCGCTGGGAGGATGGCGGCCTCCCTGCAGAGCCTCAGCGTGAGAACAGCAAACGGCGTCTGTTTCAGGGTGAAAACGTGGCCC